TGGCTACAATTCCACCCCTGCACGCTCACACTCCGTGTTTATAAACGCAAGAACTCGAGTTTAGGCACAACACGGCCCCGCAGTGCATCCAAGTCTCTAGACTTTTATGCCCTACATACACTGTGGAATTTCCACTGTGCATACAAAATTATTCATGACAGAAACATTGAAGGACCACCCTCCCCCTCCCTCTGCAAATACAAATGAGAAAAATAGCAAGAGGTTTTCTTTTGATTCCCGATCCCAGTGAGGAAAGGAAATTTTAAACCAACGTGTTTTGGGGAGGGAAAGGGAGAGTCACTGCAAAATGTTGAAGACCAGGGGGTGCGAGTACATACTTGTATTAACATCTTCCATCCCTGGAGCTGCAGTAATTTGCATGACATTATCTACCTGGGATGTTGCTATGGTTATCACCATACATAAGTAATTACCAGGGCAAATTGCACATACAGCGCACGGATTCATGCTGTCAGAAGCAAGGGATCTTCTTATACACTTGAAAATGTAAATGTTTGAAAAAACACAAATCACAAAGATTCCTGATGAGCAAAAAAACTTCAAGACAGCTCCTGAGCGATCCAAAATTGTTCTTAAGTATGCTTATTGACAACAGTACCTCCAGGGACAACTCAGACCATGTCCAAGTGAGCAAGACACTGCACATACTCAGTAGAAAATCAGTAGAAACAGTCACCAGTAACAGTAACCAGAAATCAATCAGTAGAAAGAGTAGAAAATCCCTGCCAAAGAGTTTACAGTGTAAGTAAGTAGATGAGAAAGGTAAAGAGAAAGAGAAGTGGTGTATCATACAGAGCAAACAAGGTTGTCAGCCTCATAAGTATTGGCGTGATTATTTTGGGCAGACTATGTCAAGAAACTCGCTTCTGGCAACCAAGCCAAAGATGAAGAAAAGAAATGGAGGAAGGGGATGAGGTAGACTACATCCATGCTAAGAAAAAGTCAAGGGACGTGGTAGTGTGATGAAGCAGCTAGTCAGGACAAGCCAAAACTACATCTAGTCAAAGTGGTTCTCTTAAAGGTCCCCCATTTCCCCTCCTGCAATGTTTCTGCTGGTATTTGCTGGCTGGGATCTGATTGTACTCTGATCTCTTCTGGTTTCCCACAGGATCCATATGTTCTGTATAAAAGGAATATTGTAATTTAGTTATTTTGGACTTACTGAGTACAGTAGAACTGAGGAGAAAAATTGTTATATTTTCCACTTGTAGCTTCTCTGAAAAACAAGCTCTTCTGCTTACTTAGAAATCATCTGCTTCTCACAGACATTTATTTTTACCTCCTTGTAATACTAAGAGAGTTATCATCAAAGATCACCATTCTCCCTAACTGAGCTGCAGAATGCATATTTTCAGAGCTGAAATAGACTGTAATCCCAGACCCAGCCTTTCACAGTTCTCCATGGGAAACCAGGCAGCCTGCCACACTGATCCCAAGAACGATGGTACTTCCCCACACTCACCACCAGTAAGCGGAGCTCACTTGTGTTTCAGTATCCAGCCCCTGAAAGCCATCACTCCCTGATAACAAAGGGTCACCACGAGATCCCTGGACTGCTGAGTTAAACCTACTCACATTCCCCCGGGTTGCCTCAGGGGACTGTTAGTCACAGCTGTGTGAGACTCTGAAACGAACTCGATTTGTTGATGAGAAAACCAGTGAAAAGTATCAGTGCTTTACTTCTTTACACGGGTATCTCTGCGTAAATGCAGCCAAATTCCATGAGGTACCCGCATGGGAGAGGGAAATATACAAAGGAATTCTGTGAAGAACAGAGGAAGACAAGTCTCAATACCAGGATGTCTTTGCATGATGGTCAGGGATGCCGCCCAGATTTAGGGGAGGCAGAAGATTTCGAGAAGTTTTGCAGGCTGACTTTTTGTGTACCCTCGTTAGGGTACAGGCAGACTGAAGACAAAGACAGATGTGAAACAAGGCATCTCAGGTTTTATCCAGGTAACTGGATGCCCACAATGACAGGCATTTTGTAGCTGTACGTATATTTCATACGAAACAGTCGGTAGACTATAAATTTGTCAGTGAAAAGGGAAAGTAAATATGTGAAGAGCCAAGTGCAAGATGGAAGAAGCGAGATAAATATTGTTAGATTCAGGGGAAAAGCGCTATAAACAGTAAGCAAAGCTCTTTGATTTGCACTGTTTTCCAGCCCATAAAACCCTAATATCTGCCAGTGTTTCATTAAAAGCTTATAAACTACCCAGCATGCCTGCTGCTGCATTGCTAAAAAACATTTTCGATGTTGCAGACTGCTCTTTTGCAATGCTACAAAGAAATCTTATGTGTATATATCTCAGATGCATTACTGAGAGAAGTGTGGATTGTGAAAACAGCACCTTAAACTCTAATTAATCATTCAGTAGCAGTAGGTTTCTCTCTGCACAGATGTTCATAGTAATACCTCTAAACCAGAAAACACAAATATTTCAGGGAAAAAACCCTCTGTATTATAGGAAACAGGCATTTTGGATAGAAGACTTAAGATAAAATTACTATTTTGTGAATTGAGTAAACAGAGTATAAGGCATGCCTTCACAGAGGATTGAGAGTGCAAGGTCACAATAGCCCAACAGCAAAATCTGTAACAGTTAATCTGAGTAATACTAAAAAGTTAATCTGACAATACTATGACTGACCAGATCAACAACTGTTTTTGTGCACCCTATTCTCAGCATTAAAATCTAAGACTTCAGCCCTCTAAAGACAAGTAATCACAATATCAGTCCTTTTCCGCAAGAAGTCATATTGGATAAATCAAATCTTTATTGCCATTACCATTGGTCCCAAACCAAGACTGAAGGGATCAGAACATTCGTGATTTCCCATCTCTTGTAAGATCACTCCATTTCAGGGCTCGCTCACACTTGAACCCAAACCCAGGGCAAAATTAAAATGTTCCAATGGCCAGAACCCATACCCCTGAGGCAAACCCTCTCAGTGTCTGGAGGCTTTCAGATGAATGACCTCGTAGGCACTTAGCCCATTCTGCATTGCTGTTACTGGAGCTTTCCTCACAGAAGTGGCTCCAAATTGTTCTGACAACAAAACACATAGACTCATTTCCCACATCCCTCAAACAACTCCATATTCCTCTGCATATTCCACAAGCATCAAGCTGATGTCTGATCACAGTACTGATGGGCAGCAAAGCCTACCTGTTACTCGTGCAAATGACTCCTCTCGGAACTAGCAGCACACTCCATCACTTGTGGATCAAGAAGCTAAAAATTCAGCCCCTCGGCACAGCCTCACTTCTGGGAAAACATCAGAAACAAAATTATAGATGTAGGAATCAGGGGCAGGAATTTCAGAAGGCTGAGGCACAAAAAAGAGCCACATCTGAATTATCACACAAATACGAGACTCCTGAAGATGTTAATGAAAACCCTGTTTTGCAGCTATGTGCTTAATACAAAGAAAGAAAGAAAACAACCAAACTCAAACACAATAAAAAGATTACATCTCATTAACTTCGTAAACTCAAACACTGCTAATCTGATCAGCTGAACCGTTTTCAAGCTGCCACATGCATATCACAGCTCTCACCAACAGCACTGAAGCAGTTGCTCAGCTCTGGATGTACAAACACACCCAGAGCACAGTCTGTACAGACCTAAAGCAAAGGGCAGCTCGTGTGACTGAGCTGAAAGGGGTGCATTAGTGTTCCACACTGTCTAATTAAGTAAAAAAACCCAATATATTTGACTGTTTAAATCTTTGAAATCTGCTACTGTTGCCAACGATTCTGAGGCATTCGCACTTTGCACAAGTCACAAAAGGCAGAAAACAGCAAATGTAGAAATCACCATCACATTTCTGCTGTCATTACAAGCAACTCCTGTGCCAAGCACAGTTCAGCTACAGGTTTAGGTCAAACAGATGTCTACCAAGGGTAACAACAGTGCAAGGGGAAGCTGTGGCCTGCATGTTGCATGTCAGCGTTACTGACACACCCAAAGGCCACATCATAAATGTGGTTTATATACCCTGTGGGCCAGGCTAACAAAGCAGTCATTGCAGTTTGGAACTAGTGATGCCCTCAGGTTCAAAGCAACAATAGACAGAGCAGCCCTGCTGGTGGTGCACATTGTGGTCCTACAGTTCATCCCAGGATGAACTCAGCAACAGGATCATAACATGCAACAGGCTGCATACCACGACAGCCCTCTCTATAGTGTGGTTCTCGAATTGTGAATTAAGAGTGTAACACAGGAAAAGGAATCATAATGGGTAAATTCCAGTTACCTCTGCCTAGAGACTTTTACAACCGTGAGCAAAATAACTCTTAATTTAGCAAAGCAGGACAAACCAAAACCTTTCTCTTCGCTAGATGGTTTGGGCTTTCTCTCCCCTGCGTTTTCAGGACACCGAGATTGCTTCCCTTACAGTGACAGTGACCCCCTTACCTTAAATATCCTCTGTGAGAGCGCTTGCAACCCTTTTTTATCCCCCGCATTGAGGGGATGTCGGATTGCTGTAACACTCAAGACAGGGTCAAGAGGGGGGATTTTTTTCTTTTTCGTTTATTGCTTGTTTATTTTTGTTTGTTTTGTTTCGGGAGGGGGTGTGTGTGTTTGTTTTTGTTTTTGTGTTTTTTTTTTACTTGTAGCTTTCTTGTTACTTACCGCGAAAAGAAAACAAACAAACAAACAAAAATACCGTACTTTTGTCCTCTCCCAACCAACTCAGGGTGACAGCAGAGACCACCATCAACCTGGCGCTCGGGGTGACCGAAGCGCGCTCATTCCGTGTTCGTGAGGGCGGGCTGAGGGACCCCCGTCCCCTCCCCTTCCCTCCCCTCCCTTCCCCGCCGGCCGTGCCCCCGCTGCGGACGTGGCGGCCCAGCCGGGCCGTGTCGGGCCGGCCCCGCTGCCAATGGCCGTGCCGGGGGCGGGGCGGGGAGCGGGGCCCGGGGCGGGGCGGACGGTCGGGCCGGTGGGAGCGGGGTGCGGGCTCGGGCCATGGCGGGTGTGGGTGCGGGCCGGGCGCTGCTGCTGCTGCTGCTGCCGGCGCTGCTCCTGGCGGCCGGAGCGCTGGGCAAACCCACGGCGCGGCAGGAGCGGGCGCGGCCCGGAGCCCAGCACGACGACCGGCCCGGCTTCCAGTACGACCACGAGGCCTTCCTGGGCAAGGAGGAGGCGCGGAGCTTCGACCAGCTGAGCCCGGAGGAGAGCCGGGAGCGCCTGGGGTGAGGCGGCCGGACGGGGCGGCGGACGTGGCAGGGGGAGGGCCCGGCCTGGGGGATGCCGTGCCTTGGTGTCACAGCGGGGTGGGATGCTCTGTGCCCGCTCCATGGACCCTCCAGTGCAGCACCCTGTACCCCAGTGCAGCACCCTGTACCCCAGTGCAGCACCCTGTACCCCGGTGTGGCAGCGATAACTCTGAGATTTCTACTTGAAATCACGTAACATTAAGAGGTAGGAAGGGAATTTGAATACCACCTAGTCCCATTTCCCCCACCACCACCTCCTGCCGTGGGCAGGGACACCTCCCACTAAGACCAAGTTGATCAAGGCCTTATCCAACGTGGCTTTGAATACCACCAAGGTGGGGGCATCCACAGCCTCCCTGTTCCAGTGCCTCACCTCCCGCACAGGGAAAAACGTCTTCCTAATATCTAACCTAAATTTCCCCTCTCGCAATTCCTGCCCATTGCTCCTTGTCCTATCACGACTGTTCCTGATGAAGAGTCCGTCTCTGGTTTCCCTGTAGGCCCCTTCAGATACTGGGAGGTTGCCACGAGGTCTCCATGCAACCTTCTCTTCTCCAGCGCCAACTTTCTCGGCCTAATTCTCTTGCACCCTGCTGGTTTTGTAAAGGAGCAGCCAACAATTCATCACTTTGGTGTTTTTCTCTCCTGCCTTTCCTGGCCCTACAGGAGGGACCTGCTGTACATGGTGCTGTGCCTGGTGTTGGACAGACCTCACCTGTTGCTGGAGGGCTTTGCTGCTACAGCTCCCCAACTCTGGGTCACTTGTTCCCACCACATCGGTGTGATTCAAGTTTAAATCACTCCTTATTTAACAGCTACGTTCACAAGTCTGCTTGAAGCATCTTCCCACAGCTTTTCCACTTGAGATGTCTTTGCCCGCTGTGTTTCAGTGTTGCTCTCGCTTCCATGGTGCTGCCTGGAATCTGCAGGAAGCCAGACCATTAAGCAGAACTAAGTTTAACAGGAATTAAGGAAAGATCCTTTAATGTGGTTACTGGCAAGGAGATAATTTGAAATATCTGCACGTTCTCACTAAGATTCCCCTTGCCAAGTAAAGTACCACAGGGAATGGTACTCACTGATTGTCTGTCTAGGTCCATCCTAAGACCTTAGTGCAGTAGCACTGTAATCTCACTGACTGACCTCTTGATCCTTCTGGAGGCTGTCACTACTATTTATGTGTATCTCAGTGACTAGACAGATAAAGTAGTTACCAGAAATGACCGGCTTCATCCACATTGTTTCAGGAAGGAGAGAAAGGGACCGTGTTCTCAGCGTACAGGATTTATGACCTAGATTCTTACAAAAGCGTGTCACTAGAACGGATGTGACTTATTAAAATTGGTCTACACCTACAGCAGAATAGATAATTCAGCTGGGGGTGTGATTTAACAATACAGCTGTTTTTAAATGGTGTTTACAAACGTCGGCTCAGCAAGGGAAGAAGCTTAACTTGTGGTGATCTCAGTGTGTGCCCCTTGGAGAGGTGACACAGGCACATTAAGCTACAGCCACTGTCAGTAACCTTTTAAATGGAGGTGACAGGAGTGTCCCAAAGCACACACTGTGGGGGAAGCATTGTGCATCAGAATATCAGAGATGTGGTTCCTGAGGGGCCCTGTGGGAAAGTTTCATAACTTTCAGCATTTCTCAACCTTGTAATTTTGGATAAGGTCCTGTGAGCTAAAGAGAGGATTTTAAAAACATTTCGTGTCCTAATAATCAGATATGCTTACCCCCCCCCCCCCCATCCTTCCCCTCCCCAGTTTCATTCTGGGCAACCCCAGTGGGTTACAGATAGAGTCACTTCTCAACAAGTGATTGGCTTTTAGGAAGAAGACAGATTTAAATAAAAGCTATTTCTAAATGATTTCCGTGACATACAGTCTGCTGCTCTAACCAAAGTGCATGCTGCTGTATTTATTTTACCTTGCTTAGGAAGGGTGGCAGGACATCCATCATCCCAATGACCAGTGCTGGGATTGGACTCCCAGGGCTAGGCATCATTAATGCAAAGCCACTCTCACCTTGTTCCAGCAAACAAAAAGGAACTAGCTAGCATAGAAAAATAGCCCTGCACACTCTGCCTGCAGCCTCAGTGGAGGAGCAGCTGCACAGTATGATCTTGGATTGGGATGGTGGCACACACCAGCCCATCATCGTACTGTGACCTGGGAGTGCACCCACCCCGATGGCAGATTCTGTGACAGGGGCATCCCTTCTCCCTGTCCTCCCACCCTGGATCACTTGGCAAAGGAGAAGGAATCACACACTGCCCATCCACCTGCAGGACTGCAACTCACCTGGCTTTGGAGAAGTGTGACATAATCCTGGTGCAGCATCCAATGATTGCATTGAGGGACTGGAGGTGGGCTGAGGAGGAGGGGAGAGGGGCTGCAGGCATCTGAACCTTCTCTCTGCCGTTTGTGAGGGGTCTGCCACTTTTAAGAGAACACAGAAGATGATTAAAGATCCTCACAAAATAAACATTTCTGCTTTATACAGACCAAAGCCAGTTGTACTCACATCAGGTGCAGAGGGGAAGCCTCCCTCTTTGAGCCACCTGGTAGTAGTGATTTCCTTGCCCCAACTTTGTTTCATCACCAGATGTCTTCACAGACTGGGCAGCTTAAATCTCGGTGGTATAAGGTTGTCTGTACCAACTCATACTGATTGTAATACCACCTCAGTTAAAGGGAGAAAGTAAACTTTCAGGTATTTACACACTTGTGCAGGTAAATTCCTGGAGCTGGAATTTTTTTGTCTGTTACCATGCTCCTTAAATTTTTTTCTGTATTTAAGAATTAACCATTTAAACCCGAGGCATTAAGGCTTTTCAGATCGATCAATGTGCATTAGCTTAGAATGAACACAAGCCATTTTACAGGTAATTTATCAGTATAAAAAGTGAGGTCCACAGTCCAAGCTTGATACCTGTGCCTTTGGGAGCCTGTAGGCAAAACTATTTCATTGTCTCCATCTTCAGCTGAGAAGCAGAGTGAAACAGTGCACGTGGATGCAATGGACCTATAAAAACAGGAGAAAAGGAAGAGGCATAAAACATCTACTAAACAGTCCTGACTTCTTTCATGTTAAAAACAGCCAAGAGCTACTGGCAAAATCATTTATTATAATTAATACATTTAACAATAGAAAGAAATACCATATAAACCAGTTGAATCAAGTTCATTGTGGGGAAAATCTGTTGACAAATACAGTCCATCATGCAGTGAAAGGGACCGTTGGCAGTCAATTCTCCATGAGATTTAGAAAAGGTTTTCTACTCAGTTAATTCATACTTTACTAATTCAGAAAGCAAATTCAGCAGCCCCTTTTCTCCCCCCCCCCCACCCATAGCTCAGAAATGGCATGTTTATAAAATCAGTCTGATACTATCAGGCTGGCACAAGATTGCTGGGAATTCAGCAGAAGCTGCTGATGTTGTTTGACTACTTACCACTTTCATGGGTAAGGCTTGTGAAAGGACATTGCTTCACTACTCAAGCAGTTCCAGTTGGCCAGGGTTGGTTTCTCTGTGGAGAACCAAAATGTGGAATTGGAAAGAGTATTTAAAAGTGGAGAACCTTTCCCTGGGTCCTTTGGCTGCCTGGAGGTTTAGGAATGTCAAGTCGGGATTTAGATAAGCCAGCTCCTGATTGTACCCCTTTCATACCAATGACATGTAGGTATTCCATAGGCACAGGAAGTCAGCATTGCCCTATTTTTGTTTTTTTAATATAGTTTTTCAGGTGAGTTTTATCTGCAGCTGTGTGCAGAACGTTTCAAATACAGGAGTTTCCCTGGGAGCACACCAGCACCTTTCACTCCTGATTTCAACAGCACTTGAGGGTGGCAGCTTTACCCAGGACAGTGGTTTATGTCCCAGCTGCCACCAATGACTGGAGACCTGCTGCAGACTAATATTGCTTTAGCAAGTAGCAGACATTCCTGGCAATCCCAGCAATACTGCTTTTCCATGGGAATGGAAGGAAAGAAACAGCAGTGGAAGGACAGGCATGGAAGGGAAGACTGCACATGGCATACATCCCCAGCATTATGCAGCCATATAAGTCACTCCACCCTGGTGTCAGTCTGCTGGAAAGCCAGGGGAGAAACTGCAGGTGTCTACCATGTCCTAGATTTTTGCCCTAGTTGCCTCCAGCAAGCTCAAGTGCAGGCTTTCTCCTGCTCCGAGCCAGCCTGGCCACTCCCTATTGACAGGGAAGAACAGGTGCCCCTCAGAGAGTAGACACAACCTAAGAAAGCCAGGTATTATCTGAGGTTCCCTTTGTTCACTAATTTGGATTGCACAGGTTCCATTTCATCTATTTGTAACGAATAATGAATAGAGACGTATCCCTTAAGACCGGTAGGGCAGCTTTATGAGTTTTGGGTACTCCCTTTTTTGTGGAAAATCAGAGCCAGATAAAGATTACTAGAAGTGGCCTTGACATGCAGTTTGTTTTTCTGCCAACCCTTAAGGACTCTGATCTCTTTTTTTTTACAGGAAGATTGTGGATAGAATAGATGACAACAAAGATGGTTATCTCACGACAGAGGAGTTAAAAACCTGGATTAAGCGGGTACAGAAACGCTATATCTATGAAAACGTGGCTAAAGTTTGGAAGGACTATGATCTAAACAAGGACAATAAAATTGCCTGGGAAGAATACAAACAAGCCACATATGGTTATTATCTAGGTAAGAGAATGTTTTCAGATTGTATGCTCAAGGATTTTGGGGATTATAAGGTATGAAGTTTGGTGTCTTGTTTAGGTCTCTTGAAACTCACAATAAATTTTATAAATGCTCAGAGGTCAAAAGCACTTTATAGTTAGTTATTGCAGCCCACCAGCACGAAGAAGGCCTTGTAGAGAGTACATCATTAAATGTACTAACACAGCTGAATTAAGGTCTCCTCCAGTTAGAAATATATTATTTTTTAATATTTAAAATAGTATTTTAATTAAAAATATTTATATTGTGTAATTAACTATATTTGTTAATTCACTCTGTCTAAAATCTTAATTCTAGATGCTAAAAAATGAATCTAAGCTGTAGCAAAGTTACTGATTAAAATTTGGAGAATAACGTGCTTCAGACTGTGATCCACTGCAGATGAAAATTCCTAACAAATCAGTCAAAAGAAACATTTATTGAAAAATATACCCAAATTCTGCCCTCACCCATTTCCTTTGCTTTTTGTAAGTTAATGAAGGGAAATGAGGAGAAGAGATCACTTAAGCTAAAAGGGCAATACTGACAGAACAACAAATCGGTATTAATTGACCATTTATATTTACTGGAAATGAGAAAGCAATACTTACCTACCAGAGAGACAGTTTCTAGAGCGAGCTTCCAGTAGCAATAATCATTCCAATGTCTACCTTAGATTAAAATGGAGCCTGTTACATCTGTGGAAGGAAATATTTGACACACAATCCCTGCAGCATTACCCCTGGGAAGCCTTCTCAGCCTTTTTTCTTTGCTCTCTGTAATCCCCAAGATTCAGAGAACAGCTACTACACTGTGGGCTTGTGTTAATGAATGCTTAAAATTCCCATCTGTAATTCCTGGCCTAGTATTTTTCACCTGTGTTTGTCTCCCAACATCTGATTTGTGAAATTGTTATGAGTATTTTTCACGTCTGAAGTCAGTTTAATGATCCTATTAAAAAAAAAATTATATCAAATACCATTCCTTTTATGCCACTGAACACCCTGAAAGAATGTCATTGTTTTAAACTGAAAATAATTGTTAGGTTCCCTGCAGCAGAGGCGTAGCAGTTAGATAATTTCAGACAGTCTGCCACCTTCTAAAACCACCTTTCTTTGGTTTGCCTGCTTCTTGAAACTGCAAAGTTGTGTAGATCATATTAATTCCTAAAGAAGAATAAAACTTCTGGGAATGAAATCTACCCCAAATGCTGCCTCAGTGGTGCTTGTAAAGGCAGGTAAAATATAAATTTGTGAGGACTAATATATAATACTGCAAAATCCATTACCCTGGATTGCAACAGAAGAAATTCACCTTCAAAAATTGACCCCTGAATTTAAAACTTCACAGGAAAGAGAAGGAAACAAGCCTTTGTATTTCTAGACTCAAACAACAAATTGGGGAGCTTCATTGTACTAGTGTGTTTTAAAGGAAAACACTTCTGAGATCGTCTTGGTTAATTTGCAGAAAATCCAGAAGAATTCCAAGATGCAACTGATCAGCACAGTTTTAAGAAAATGCTGCCCAGAGACGAAAGACGATTCAAAACTGCAGATCTGGATGGAGACCTGGCTGCCACTCGTGAAGAATTCACTGCCTTCCTCCACCCAGAGGAGTTTGAGCACATGAAAAACATTGTTGTCCTAGTAAGCAGAGCAAAATCAATGCCATTATTTTCACTTTTATTTTTATGGATGAGCTTTGAAGTGCTTCTCTAACCTTTCCAGGCAGGGTTTAGAAAGAGACACACACATAATAGCTAAGTGGGGAACAGAAAGGGATGCCTTTCATGAAATCCACTTGATTTAGAACTCTCAATATAAAAAAGACTTGTTAAGTGCACTTAGACAGCTCCTAAATGGAATCAAGAAACGGTCTTGGGGCACAGACTTAAACCAAAATAAAAGGAAGGGTATGCTGACATGCAGCACCCAAGTGTTTCATGCAAGCTTGTATCTGCCCCTGACTTGAGCATGGTGCTCAGTTCATTCATACAGGGAATTTTTTCAGCATGAAAGGATATTTGTGTATTCATTGTATAAACAACAATCACACTGGCGCTAGTAAGAGCACAGTCACTTGTGTACAAGGGCAGGTCAAGGCCTCAAAAACATTAAATGATCAAAGAGGCAAATAGTCAGAATTCTCAGATTTTTCTTGGTTACTTTGATGCAAAACTGTTTTCCAGGAAACCCTGGAAGACATAGACAAAAATGGAGATGGTTTCGTGGATCAAGACGAATACATTGGTAAGTGTTGATACTTGTTTCTTATATAATCTCCAATCCATATTTTCCATCTCTCAAATTTGCAGCAGCATCAACAACCCAGGAATAAAAAGTTCCCTCTTCCAGTTCAACTATTTTATACAAACCACCCAACCCAGAAAGCTTAATTTTATTTTAGGCAGATGGCAACATCACCAGGAAAAGGTTCCTCACTTTACAGCGTAAGATCCTCCTCATGTTCTCATATAACTCAGCTAAGAGTTATATGAGAACAAGAGAAGAGGATCTGGAATAATATTTTTCATGAGAGGGATATTCTTTGTATACTAAATGACATTAACAGCTGTTTAAAAATGTTTAGAAATGCGGGAAGATTAGAAGGTGAATTAGTCTTTTCCCAAGTTTGAATATTACTCAAATATGCAAAACAGCTGGGAAGCGCACGTTGCAAAAAGAGAAAACTCACCTTTTCTTTCCACTAGTTTTTTTCTTTCCACTAGTTTTTCTCCTAGTCTAATTAGTAAGTAAAGCCCCACACTTCTCTAACGGTGATAGCACTATATTTCTTCTAGACATGGAAGATACACTGAAAAATGAACCGTGTTAAAGCCGCGCCAAGATTTAAGGTTCTCAAGGAAGTTGTGAAATGCGTGAAAGTTAGCAGTGCATTACTGCAGTGGCAGAAAGAGAACAAAGTGGGAAACATCCTCAGCAGATCAGTCACAGTTAATTCACACAAACTTAGTCACACCAGGCAGTTGGCTGCTGTCGTGCACTTAGACCTACGAAGACAAAACAGAAGCAGGAGTGGAGAGCGGCAGTACATGATACATTTTAGCCTTTTGAATCATTACTGCTATACCAGAACCCGCCCTCCTCTCCACTGCACTCATTTTGATGGGTTTTAAATCGAGAAAGCAGCACCAGGAAGGCATTAGTGCAAACTTGGATGAATCTTCCTGTTTCAAGTGGTGCTGGAAAGATCGCTTCGCACAGAATCAGGAACAACGTACACACGTTAATTAATGGCAGGGGGTTCTGTTCCCTGTAAATTATATTTAGCCCAGAAAGTGAATGCTATTCATTTATGACTGAAATAACAGAGCAGCATAATTTCTGCAGTAATTTCAGTTCATTCAGTGACATTACCTACATATAATTATAAGGTAATTGTCAACATTTGTTACCATGTGAATGCAGGTTTTTCTTGTCTTCTATAGATAGGAACATAGAATGTTCTAGTCACGATCACCCCACATTGGCAAGGAGGATAAAAATCAAATTGACAGGACGTGTCAGTTGCTTCAAATAAACAATATAATTTGCACTTTAAAAAATGAAAAAAAGAAAGTGAATGTGTTGTCTGAAGTTTCCTTCATGAGTTGAGAAAACTATGCTTAAATATTCCTACTTGCCTTTTTCAGATGTAATTATTTTTTAATTTTCATGAAGTCAGGGTTAAGAAACCAACAGAAAACTAAATCTCTTCTTTGATGGTTTATGAGGAGACAAGAAAAAGAAGTCCAAAAATGTCAGTCTCTAGATCGAGTATTTGATGGGGAAATCTGCTGAAGGTTACAGAAGGCTTCCTCCCTCTTTCGCTTTCTTTCCTCCCCTTTTGTTTTTTACAAAATTTGGTTTAGATTTACAGAAACAGCGGAGCAAAATATCCCTTATCATGCTGAGCAAAGAGAACTAAATTCTTACTGTGCATGGGCAGGTGACAGAACATTTCAGGGACGCCGTGGACAGTGGCAATAGGGAACTTCAGCCTGGTGTGTGCACTCACACTGCAGAGTCAGGGAAGGTTACTCCTAGCTTTGAAATCAGCATTTCTGTTTCCTGTGGGTATCAGCCAGCCTCTGGCCCTGAGACCAGCCTCGTGGGGTGCCCTTTTCCTTAGCACATCCTTGACAACCAAACACAAAAGGCATAGGAGAGGAGTAGTATCAAGAAGCAGGCTTTAATTCTATTTAGAAAAGTGGAAGGCTCGAGGAACAAGCAGCCCTGATGAGCAAAAAAAAAACCCCGATTAGCCACAGTGACCAGAAGAACAAAGTGGACACACTACTCATCATTTGGAAGGCCTGTGATGCAAAAACCAGTTCAGTTACAAATCACTTGCTCTTTAATAATCACTGCTCCTGTCCTAACTCTGTTTGTGCTGATAGCAGCTGCCACTGTGGCGTTGTCCTGCCGATGCTCCCTAAATATAGCACAGGACTGATGTGATCTCTGCATCCTGTGTCACAAATGATGCTCCATCCCAAGGTACCAATCTATGACAAGTGCCCCTGTGCCTGTGGTTTTTCACAGAAGGCACCACTGATTCATGACTTCTCCAGCTCATTCTCTGTAGGAGAATATCTTCTTCTGGAATGTGCTACAGCACTGCGTGGTTAAAAGAAGGCTCATCTACTAAGCTGAACGTCTCTTACACAGACCTCTCTAAAAGCAGGATAAAAGCCTGCAAGTTCCATTTAGCAATTTTTTGTTTGCCTAAGTTTCCCCTGTGCCTTTTTTTCTTTAATCACTCTCTGCTGGCTGGAGTTTGATCTTATCCACAAAGACATTTGCTGGCAGGGACAAGATAAAATGGCTGAGTTCCTTTCTCCCCATGTGACTGAGCCTAGCACTAAAGCCTGTGATTGCTATTTAACTCAAGACCCTTAGAGAATTTTTTTCATTCTGAAATTCAGTGATGATGGCCTTTGAACACATTCACCTCTCATGTTAGCCTGACCAGGAGTGCACAGTTACGAGACAAGGGTAATGTAAGAAGGGACAGAATCACCAGCAGTGAAGAAATAGGCCTGCGAGAAGATGCACACAGCCACTCTATTTACACCCCACATTTCATTTTCTGTACAAAGAGATGCTGTGCAAAGAGTGAAAAGTTTGGTCTTCCTCTGAGGAACACTGTACAAATGTCTTCAGCCTGTGCATAATTTGCAAATTAAATATGACTCGAGTGAGACCTTTATTTCCTCTCCAGCTGATATGTTTGCAAATGAAGAGGGTGGACCAGAGCCTGAGTGGGTGATTACAGAGCGTGAACAATTTGCAGATTTTCGTGACCTCAACAAGGATGGAAAGATGGACAAAGATGAGATTCAGCACTGGATTCTCCCACAAGACTATGATCACGCCCTGGCTGAAGCCAGGCACTTGGTCTATGAGTCTGATGTAGACAGGGTATGTAGCGTTCCACAGTAGTTTTTAAAGCAGTAATACAAGCTGTTATGGTTTGTTTGTTTTGTTTTTTTTTTTTTAAATATCAGCTTGCAGCAATTCATTCCTGATGACTTTTCGTATTAGTACACTTTAAATGGAGTTTTAGAGGCTGGAATTGCTGGTGCATTAATATTTCCATGCCAGTTTCTGTTGGTAGGGTTAGAATCACAAAGCAAAAGTAGTAAAATACAGTTTGTCAGCTCCAGAAGTTCCCTTGCCTTTCGTTAGGTGAGATAAGAATCTACTTGTCATCTTAAGCCTGGGTGTTTTAACACAGTAGAAATACTCTTTGCCTTTTAGGTGGTCATGACTTTGGTAGGTTAATTTCGATTACAAGAGGAAAATAAAGATCTATTTACATAGGGGGTAGCAAAATCAGTTCCATAATCAAGCACATACCTTTCACTAAAGACTGACTCAGTACATCCACTTCCTGTAGTGTGGCACACTCGATTCCATGATCTTCACAGGTGTATTGTGAGCAAAGTGTGAACCTGAAAACCCAAAATATTCTTACACAGAGAGTGTGTAAATCGCTGACATAAGCAACCATCCTCCGCAAAGTACACCAGAGGATTTTCTTTCTTTGAAAATGTTCTCACAGAGGTTTTGTTTTCCTCCTGCCAGGATCAAAAACTAACGAAAGAGGAGGTTCTTGACAACTGGAATATGTTCGTTGGAAGTCAAGCTACTAATTATGGAGAGGACCTCACAAGAAACCACGATGAACTATGATAGGAATACTAACCAGGATGCTACACCCCTTTTCTCCACTTTACTGAAATCACTGTGCCCATCCCTTCTTTCAGGGGCAGATGGGCAAGGGACACTCACGACTGAATGACTTGCATTAATATATTTTTAACATGCCAGCTTATTACCTCAGAAACCGCTTAGAAATAGCTTTTTACTCTTTTCAGATGGTTAAATACAATATATAGTTAATACAGTTTTATTTTTGAAAAAAATAAAAAGGTAACTTCTCTGAGTAGATTAGAGCCTGATAAGGAAAAGGCACTTCTAAAAAACATAATTGCAAGGAGGTTTAATAGTGAAATATTTTCTTCAAATACCCTCTTTTACCATAGTGAAATGCAGCTAGGGTTAGGAAGAAACCTAATGTTTAAACAGATTAAGTTGTTTAGTTGTCTTTTTTAATAGCATACAACAACTTAAAGTTAAGATTTTGATCCAGAGAAGAGGTTTGATACAACCTTTGTCTCCACGCAGTTTTTTGTCTCCCACTTTGGGTCAGAGGTGCTGCAGGAGGTATCATCTGGTTCACACGTGCAGCTGGCCCTTCTCCCTGACCCCCCATCACAGAGCAGAAGGGATGTGGACTTCAGACAGACAACAGGGTGACTTACAACTGTTTGGGGGCTGTTGGTTACGCTGTTTCCTGGGAGGAATTATGCCACGTGGAGCATAATTTACCTCAACGCTTTTCGCACTTTACCCGAGCCGTGCACTTGTTCGTGCAGTGTGAATGGCAGCAGCTCTGTGATGGAGAAAGAATGAGACATATCACCCCTCTGGGCCTTCTGCCTCCTCTGCCACATAAGAGGACGGATTTATGTGGCTAATGTTCTGGTTTTGTTATGTATATACGTATAAGTACATGTTACTGAAGCAACTCCACAAAGACAGCTCTCCTTCCCAAAAAGGGGGTAAGCTTTCCACACAGGTGCTTTCTTTTTTTACTGTAAAATGTGAGCTGTTACATGTATATTTTTATATACCCAAGTTACATGAGTTTGGTCGTTTTTAAATGTACCAGTTTTAAAATAAGCAGAATAAAAACCAATAGTTCTTTTTGATACTATGAAGGTGCAATAACACTAACATGGACTAACACAGAGAGAGGATGTGAAAGCACAAACCAAGCCTCTAAAGCCAGCAATTCCCAAAGGACTGGGTCATTGGCAGATCCGACAACACTGGGTGGTCATCTACAAACAGCAGCTGGATGTACAGCACCGACTGTTTCTTCTTCACCTGAATTAAAAAAAAAATAAAAAAAAAAAAAAAGAAAAGCTAGAAAGAAGTCCAATATGCTATAACTAGAATTATTTCTGAACAAGAATACCTGGGAGATTAGGGCTCCACAGCAGTCACTGGGAGGTTCCTCGGAGGGTTGGTGTGCAGCATCACACACTGGTGGTCACACAGCCATCCAGAGAGGAGCTTTGAGACTCCCGGGTTGTGACACACTTCAGCAGTTCAGCAGATCTGTGAAAATCAGCATGAGACAATGCAGAACCGTGACCTTTGTAAGCAGGGTCATTTCTCGTAAGGTCATGCAAGAATTGTGGTGGAATATTTTACATCTTCTCACTGAAGATAATTCAATCTAGATACCAGAGTCTGGCAGAGATTACATGTTCTTGCTAGCACCATTACTGAGCTTTTGGTGTGCACGTCTTATGACATTGCCAGCAATGTCTCTGAACAAAGTCCCTACCTCTTCCAGTAACGTACAATAGGACAAATGTCATAAGACATAAGTGAACTGTTTTTGCTTTTACAGTACCCTCGAGTTAAATAAATGCCTAAATGCAGTGTTATCTGAGAAGCAATAAAATTGTATCTTGGCACGTGTAAGCGATGATCTGGTTTGTTTATGGCTTGGATTTGGAAAGGTTTATTGTATTCAATAACCCTAAAAATCTTGAGAACTTTTTTTTGTAAGTTGTTCTTTCATATCAAAATGTAACATATTTTAGTAACGGATTTGCAGTACTCTCTCTGTACTCAGATTATCTTCTGCTGTTTCAGGAAACAATACCTTAAAAGACCTCCAAAAAGGCTTGTTTCCTGCGAGTGAAACTGCAGCTCAGACTGGATACTAAGCCAGGGATTTTCACTGAAGCCCAAGGGAAGGTTGTTTGCTCACTCTTGTTGAAATTCAGTGGCAGTTGGGTGCTGAGACACTAAGCATTGTTGCCTTCAGCTAAACATGACACTTCCCAATGCACTGTGCGCTGTCCCAACCAAAAAAACCCCACATCTGTGCTTTGACAAGCAATCACATCTCCTTCCACATTACTAAATGAATTTGGAGCGGAATTAGCATCACACAAGAGAGAAATCGTGTTCCCATGTTTGTTCTTGATTCCTATCAATGCTTGGTACACACTAGGTATTTTCCAGTATAAAACTATGCTTACAGGAGTAAGAATGCTGAAATCAGAGGAGCTGTTCATGCAAAACTGGAAATGTAGACCCATAGTATTTTACTGTAAAAGCTATTTTTTTTCCCCAGAAGTATGATACTCAGGTAGCTTTTATCCAGCCATGAAAAAACATGCTGATTAGAATGAGGTTTAGAATAATCAAGTTATCCATCAATAACGAGTAAAGGGGTCATATTAAGAATAGGAGCTTTTCTAATAAAGCAGAATGTAGAAACATTTTTTTTTTAAGAGAACATAAATGTCCCTGATATTATTTCATTCTGCAGGCTCTCCTCTTTCTGCAGTTCTTCCCAGTGTTTCTCTCACCAACACTCAGTAATGGCACAGTGCATTCCATGCACTAAATTTTCCTTTCAAGCTCAATGCACTATGGAAGAGCAACTCCAAAAGAGACTAGAGCTTCTGGGTTTAAATTTAACACTATTTAAGGAAAGAAAACCTTTGCTAGGGGATATAACTGTTAACATTGTGATTTTTCAAGCCTAAGGTTTCTAATGGGGTTTGACTGTTCCAGAGATAACATTTTTTTTCCTAGGTAACATATTTCAACTCACATTATGAGCAAACGCTACAAAATTTTAGTGTAATGTGAAATACTGTAATGTCAGATAGCATTATTTATCTGCTTAATATGACTAAAACCATTAATTGCTGGGAGCCATACTTCATCCCAGCAACATGAAAATCCATTTTGTGCCTATCTTGTCAGTTATTGCCGATTTTCCTAATGAATTGTGACGCAGTGAAATCCTCTTGGGAAGCGTGTTTATATATTTCCAACTGCAGGTTCTGTATGGTAACTCCTGTTACATACATCCTCCATTAAACTCAGTGTTTTCATCATGCCTATGCCACAGCATATCACAGGTGCATTTTTCTTGCTTGGGTACCTGGAATAGCCATTATTATTGCAACATGGCAGTTTTAATTATTAGGGTTTATGAGATGAGCTAAGTGGCTGGTGTTCGTTGTCCTATAATTCCATATAAAGATTCAATCAGGTTGAATCTGTCTCCTGTTGCAATCAAGGTACTGTTCATAACCCCCTGAGGAGAGGAGATCACAGCCCATCCCAATCTCGTTACACTTCTACACCAGTATCTTATAATAGTTGCATAATGCTTTGCTATTTGCAGTGCAGAAGTTGATCTTGATGCCAGTGAAGTTTACACAGAACTAGTTTTAAGGAGAGTAAGAACTAGTCTAAGGCCTTAGGCTTGCCCAAACAACGGGGTGGGTGGGACTGGAGGTCAGAAACAGCCTTATAACCATCAGATTTACTACTTGTTCTGAGCACTAACATTTAGGAATTTTGAGTGGTTCATACTCTTGTGAGATAGTTAGGGCATGAGCCCAGCTCATGGAAGGCAGTGTCTAATGTTCCACTGGTCTGGTCAAGGAACCTTAGGCATTTTACTGAGCGACAGTGGTGTCACTCCTAGACAGCAAGTTACCATTAGCAGATAAAATTAGTTTCACAGGGTGACAGAAGGATCCCTGGAAAAAATTTCAAGGCCAAAACTTCTGCAAAACCCTGACTCAGCTTGTAATCCAAACCCTTGGAAGCATCCACCACTACTAAACAGTGACCTTCTCTTTTCATCGCTCCAGTTTAGTGTGTGCTAATATTCCATTTTATACGTCCAGCAAGGAGCACACCAACCATATTTCATATACTGCATGTTAGTCATTTGCCTTGTGGGAGAATTTATTTCGTAGTCCTAAAGGGTCCAAATATGATCTGGCTGGCTAGCTTTTGAAGTTTCAGTATTTTTAAGTTGTAAACTTTTTTGTCAGTTCGTAAAGCTGGCCACAGTTGTGGTCTCAAACCACCACAGCTGTATGAAACAAGTCAAGGCATGGTCCTGAATCTGAGTAGTAATTAAGGATGACACATACATTAGAAATGGCAATGTTTCATCATATCAACCAGAATTTAGATACGCACCAAGACACTTTCACAGTTAACTAGGAAATATTTCCTTTATATGGGAATAGCCTGACAGTTTTTAAAAAGGACCAACGGGGGTACAAAAACCCAATGAAAAATCAGTGTAGCTTTTGAAGAAAGCTGGATATAAATACCCTGAAGTCCTCAGTGAGGACTCAATGAGTTGATAAGCCCACATTCTCAAACAGTTATGGTACAGCACTGCCCAAGAAACAGCCATCACTGGAGATGGTGCACTTGCACCTGACAGAATGAGGAGGTTTTGGTAAAAATAAAATTACTCAATAGGCTCCTCCAGCAGGCATTACCTTCTCCCACCTGAGGCTGCTGTTGGATTCTGAGGAAGTTTGAATGGATGCATGATCAACGCTGTGTGGGTGACCGTGAATCCCACCACTATCATTCAAGGTAAAAGGTTGGTATCGAGGCCACAGTACCTAGGAAAGGAATAAAAAAAAAAAAAAACATTATTCTAATTGTTAATTATTGAACACCCAAGAGCATGCTGTCCTCAGGACTTCTCAGGACATACTTTCTGTGTGGAGAAGAGGAGTGAATTTAATGTTTCAGGAAGACAGAAGAAAAAAGGAGGGTGCTTTTATCATTAGATTGTCTGTAAGATAATACAGACATACAAAAAATAACATTGACTAGATTTACATATTAGATACATCCCCCCAAATTATTCCTAATGTCCCCACCCCCAACTTCAAATTCAGCTGAAGTTCTGCTGACATCGCACTCAGCTGCATCTCACAGGGCCTTGGTTGCTGGGACACAGAAAAGAAAGGAATGCTAGTTGAGAACTCATCAAATGGGAAGTGCAAAAGAATTCAGAGAGCTAAAACTTCCTGAAACCTTTAGATGGTAAAATGTAGATGAAACATTTTTAAATCGTAGGTGAATTCACAGGCAAATTCCACTGGCAGCAGGAATGAAGAGGAGAGAGTGGGTAGAGAAGCATCCTAGAATCTAACAAAACCAGAACAAAAGCTTCTCTTAATTTAGATGATTTGTATTTATTCCTTTGCCTGTCTTCTTTATTTGTCCTAAAATTTTAAATTCAGTGAACAGTCCAAATGTAACATTTCCATAACCTTCCCAAATTGCTGATAACTTTGAAATGTTTTGTGCC